CTGGTGGTATGTGACAGCTCTCTAGATCACGAAGACTTGACCTTTGCAAGTTTCTGGTTCCTTTGTACTTTCCAGCAGCTTAAAGCCCTTGCTACAATGTAAGATTTTCAGCTGTGGAAGATACTATGTAGAAACTGCGCCTTCCTCACTTGTCTACAGCAGTGATGTCCAAGTCTCTAGGACAGAAAGACACTAAGGCTAGAACGAAGCCAGACCACAGGCACCGGAGAAGGACCTTCAGGACAGCACTTACACATAAGGAGGCGCACTAGCAGCCAGTGCCAATCAGAGGCCTGAGAGGCAGAGGAGATGGAGGCCTGTCCTCAGGGGCCAAATGTCACCGCCTGGGGCAGCATCCATGTGACATCTGTCTCCTCTCCTAAGGCTCCACATTTTCAAGCTTTTGTGTAAAAGTGGGTATTACCCACTTATATTGTTTCCCCAAAAAGGAAGGAAGGAAGCCTTTAGCCTCTAGTGCTACTATTAACAGGCACCACAAGGCTATTTTAAAGACAGAAACTTATTCTCTAAAATTTAGGAAGCTCAAAAACTCACTGCATTCAGAATGGACTTATTGCTGCCTCTCCAGTGGGTTTCCAAGACAGTTAATTTCACAGGAGGAGACTGCCCATCTTTCTCCCTCACAGCCACTGGTATTGCCTTTGAGTTGGAAATGTCACTGAAGTCCCAAGCCAGCTCTGAGACAGGGCTTTCTCTCTGTGTCTCCCAGACCCACGAGTCCCAGTGCAGGACCTGGCTCTTCCCTGGAGCTGCAGTGCCCCTCCTCTGATCTCTCATAAGACAAAGGTGATGCAGGTCACACCCCAGGGAACTCACCCCACACACGCCTCACGCGTGATCTCCTCTCACGCGTGGAGTAAGTGCAGTGCCCCACTCCAACCTCCTTACAGCTGATCGCCAGGCCACATTTCCACCCACATCAGGGAACGACCACGTCGTTGTATAACTGCCTTGACAGCATCGTCTAACACACCAGCTTGTTGCCCCAAGCTGGTTTCAACTCAGTGACCCTCCACTGGGCTCTTGAGGCTATAAATTGCACGTGAGGAGAATGTCCATCCCATGGAGCTGCAGGTGGATTCGAACCAGCAAAGAGTGGCCTTTGGGTTGGCAGAACAAGTCCTCCAGACTAAGACCCAGAGCTCCTATGAACCTCGTGGAGACCAGGATCAGTAACACACAGGACAATGGCACGAACCCGAGAATCAGGGCCTCGCCAAGATGATACACATGGAGGACACAGTCCAACCCGACAACGGACCAGCCTCCAGAGGAGCCCACGTGTTCCGTGCTGGGGGCTCACGCAGGTGTGTGATTCTAACCAAGGAAGTGGGTGAGGCGAGGGCTCGCTGTCAGAAGTTGCTTGTGGTGCCAGCAGGACTCCCTTCAGCCCCTCACCTCACAGCTGGGCCCATGCACACACCCATCTCCAAGGGGCCTGTCCGAGGTTACTCAGCGACACGGCCAGGCCAGACCTGGGCTCTGCCCTTTACCCCATTTTGAGCCGGAGAAAACAGCCAGTGACAGTTGAGTGACCCCAGGTCTCCCGACTCCCAGTGTCAGCATGTAAGGTAGAGACCTCACCACGCACAATCAGGGCTGCGAGTTCACTCCAGCCTTCTCCAGCAGAGCTCAAAGAAGTCAACATGTGCTGGACTCTAAGCCCCTTTCAGGGGCAGCTGGCTCCCTCAACAGGGACACTCCCTCTCAGGAGTCTCACTGGAGCCAGGACTCAGGGACCAAGCCCTGTGGGCAATTCGAGCTCAGTCCTGAAAGCTCGGTTCTCGGCTCACAGACCTGCCTCCCTTGGGACTAGTTACTCAGTCTCCCCAAGTGACCACTTCCTGTCTGTGAGGGGGAGGTACAGATGTTAACGTGACAAGCTTTGAGGGCACACAGAGGGCCTCCATGCATGGTGGCTATGATGGTACAAGAAGAATTCAGAATAAATTAAAGCCAGAGACCCCTCAGTCTGGTAACTACCCCTCCTCCCTCAAAAGTACCTGTTTCCCAGGGTCTCCCAGAGAGAAGGTCAAGGTCAGAACCCCTGACCCAGCTGCCCTCCTGCCCTCCCAGACACATGCAGACCTTTACCCTGAGAACTTGCTGCCAAGTTGAGCAACTCCCTGGAGACCCAGCAGCCGTGTGCAGTGGAAACTGGCCTGTCCTTGCCAGGCCCTCCAGAGAGGCCAGTCTGGAGGGGAAGGCCACCGAGCTAAGCCAGGCTCAGGGGATGAGGCCACCCAGTGGTGTGGACACATTTCCAACAGGTGTCCTTGAAGCTGGAGCACAGAGAGGGGCCTGGGCTGCAGAGGGAAGGGATTCCCAGCCTGTGCTACTGCCAGAGGTGGTACCGAAGGCACTTCGGGGACAGAGGCGACATAGGGGCTGAGGGGCTGGAGATCAGTTCAACAAGGATCACTCCCACCGGCCACTAAAGAGCTCCTGCCTTCCCCGGGGCTTGGAGCAGGACTGCTCACAGAGAAAGGCACAGACCTGCAGTTCTCCCGCACAGCCTCTGGGGGCGCCTTTAGGAAGGCCCTCCTTAGGGAGCTCTGGTGGCCTAGTGGCAAGGAGCTGCACTGTAATCCGAGGTAGGTGGTTTGAATCCACCAGATGCTCTGCTGGAGAAGGATCTCCTCTTATACCAGTCAGATCTGATTTGATGGTACACACATCACACACACACGCGCACGTACACACACAGAAGCCCCTCCTCTCCTTCCCTTGGAAGTTTCAAGCGCTCCTTGGAACCTCAGTCTCTTCTTCCATAAACTCAAAGTCCCAGATGCCCAGGTACCGGTAGTGTACAGCAGGACGTTCAAGAGATGCCAGTGAGGACAGTGGCATCAGAGACAAGGGCAGGTGATGAGGAGAGAAGTCACTGGAGACTGGGTGCCCTGGGGTCTGGGGCACAATAGTGACTGAGTATTCCCGACCCAGTAGGGGGCTGTGGGAGGGGACAGGGCCTTGTCATCCAGCTTCCATCCTCTCAGACCAACGCCTAGAGATGAGGCATCTCCTCCTCAGCATTTCTGAGTTCTCTCCAGCCACACCCCTCTGGGAACCCAAGTCAGTGTCCCTTCACCCCCACTCTTACGCAGTCTCAGAAAGGAGTCTCGTGACACAGTAGAACCTGGGTAGGTGGGGGGGCTGTCCCTGGGGAAAAGCAGTGCCTCCTGGATGCCCCACTCACCAGCCCTCTCCTCCCTCATGGCCTGGCCCCAGCAAAAACAAAGTACCTACTGTTATCCATCAAAATCCCCGAAAGTGACCCCTTCTAAACTTGGCTCTTCCCAGGGAGAGAGGCTAACCAGAGCTGGCCAGGGTCCCTTGAAGGGCAGACCAACAGGTCTAGAATCAAGCTGAGGCTGGAGGCCCATGAGACAGCTGAAGGGCTCAAGGTAGGACAGGAGAGGAGGGCTGGTGTGGGAGGCACCTGTCTGCCCCAAACACATAGAAAGGACAGCCCATGAAGGGTCCCTGGGGTCAACTTTAAAGTCAAGGGCTGCCTGGGTAAGCGTGCTGGTACCTGTCAAGCCAGGACATTCATAAAGAATCCACTTTGTGACCCTCAGGCCACAGTTGAGGGGTCAGCTTCAGGACCCCTGAGTCTACCTCACACAGGGCTTTGTGGGCATTCAGGTCAAGTCACGGCCTCACTCAGAGAGACTATCCCCATCTTTCTCCTTGGGGGTAGGAGCCTGACTCTGGAGCCTCCTTAGAAGAACCCTCCTCGACAAGCCCTCCATCTGTGGGGACAGCAGGACAGGCCCTCCACCTGGCGGGACAGCTGGACAGGCCCTGCACCTGGCTTCCCTAGGGCCACTTGTAGACACACTTGTTGGTTTAAGCACCTACCGAGCCCTCTGTCCCATCCTCATGCAGCTTTTCCATTGGACATGTCCTCCTGCACATGTCCCTAAAGACAGGGCCTGAGGGCCAGGACATCTGGGCACCAGTCAACCCTGGCAGCCTGGACAGAGATGGCAGGAGGCCCGGAAACCACTGCCGGAAGCACCGTGGACGCCAGGCGTTCAAGGACTGTGCAGTCCCACAGGCCAGGTCCCTGCCACTGGAACATTGCAAAAGCCACTAGAGTCGCCCAAACAGGGCAGAGATGGGGCAACAGCCTCGGAGCCAGGAAACACGGGGAAAGGGCAGGAAGGGGCCTGCTCTCAGGCAACCACTCCCAGCCTCAGAGCCGGAGCACCTCAAATGTTCACCCAGCCTGACCCCACCGCCCAGTCTGACGGTCAGAGAGCCCTGGGTCTAGGGGAGGGGTCAGAGGAAACGCCCAGCCACACCCCCTTCCTTGCCCGAGCCGGGAAGGCAGCCCCCAGGACGACACCTCCGGGGGCCTCTCCAGGCGCCTCTCCCTAGACCGCTAAGGGACAGAGGACCCTTCCCGCAGGGTCTGGGGGCTGGTGCAGCCATCACCTGACGGTGGTCAGGACAGGACCCGCCCCAGGTGAAGCCCGGCCTTCCGGTCTGAGGAGCAGGAACCTCTCCCAGCTCGTCCCAGGCAGCGTCCCGGAAAGTCGCCGCCCCGCATGCCCCAGGAGGGCACAGGGACGCAGCGGCGGCTCTGGGGCGGCGGTCCACCTCGGCGTCTGCCGGCCGGACTTCCGGACAAGGGCTCGGGGTTACTGTGGCGCGGGCTCCGAGGACCCTGCCCGCCCGGGCCCTCTCTCCACTCGCGCCCTCCCGCCCCCGAGCCCAGGACGGGCGGGCGGGGCAGGAAGGAGGGAAAAGAGAGGAGAAAGTTAGGAAAGCGGAAGCGCGCGGCGGCCCTGCGCTCCCCACCTCGCCGCCCGGCTCCCCGCGGCTCCGCACCGCCCAGCGCCCAGGGGTCTCCACCCGCCCGACACGCCCCAGCACGAGGTCGTCCCCCGGGACTTCCCCGCGCCGCCGCCGGGTCTCCCCGCGCCCGGCGCGCACACCCCGAGTCCCCGCGCCGGGGCCCCGCGCGCCCGCACCTCATGTTCTCCACCGTGCGGCCGCCATGGCGCAGCAGGCACAGCACGGTGACCACGGTGGATGTGCAAAAGCAGAGCACGCAGTACAGGATGATCTTGGCGTAGAACTTGACCGTGCGGCTGAGCTGCGCCAGGAGCAGCAGCAGCAGCAGCGCCGCGCTGAGCCACGGCCAGAGCTCCATGCCGGCGGCGCGCCAGGCGGACGTGCACCCGCGGCCCGACGGCGCGGCTCGGGCGCCTCCCGGGCGGATGGACGGGCGGGCGAGCGACCAGAGGCTGCGAGCGGCTGGACTGCCCCCGCCCCGCGCGCTGCGCCCCTTATTGCGAGGTTAGGGGGGCGGGGCGGCCCGGGGTGGAGAGAAAAGCGCCAGGGCCAAGGAAGCACGGAGGTGCGGCCGCCCCGCCCCGCCCGGCCCCCACCCGGGCTCGGCACCGCCCTCACCCTGTGCCGTCCCGCCCCGCGTCCCACACTCGGTCATCCGAGCTCGGGTGACACCCGGACTCCGGGCCTCCCGTGCTGTGACTCCGGTCTCCGCCACCTGGGTTCTGGCCCCGCGCCCTGCCCAGCCTCCTGGCCTGTCCATCCCAGCCGCCTGGTCTCGGACACCAGCGCCCGCCCACACCCTACGTCGCCCCCGCCGCTGTCAGGCCTGGCCCTGGCCCCTGAGCTCCCCAAGGGCGTAAAGGCGGCCCAAGGACGGGGCAGCAAGTGCCCGCACGGCTCTGTCACCACACACGCGCAGCGGCCACGGGGCTTCCTGGAAGGGTGGCTGCCTTCTAGGTCCCACTGGGCAGAGGCGGAGAAACTGGAGCAGGAGTCTCCGGGGACCACCGGCTTGGGGTAGGGGTGCGGTGGGGTGAGGGGGCTGCCCAGGCAGACTGGAGTGTTTCTGGGCAGCAGGGATGGGAGGTGGCTTTCCAAGAGAAAGTGTGTCACGGGGATGGGGCCCTGCCACAAGTGTCAGGTGATGTGTCCAGCTCAGTGGGCCCGGTGCCTGACACCGCAAGGCGCAATAGCTGTTCATTTGGTCACCTGGTCACCGCAGGAGAAGGAGGCTCTGCCCAGGGTCCAGCTAGAATCTCTGGGTGAGAAGAGGCTCCAAAATGCAGCTTGCTTTTGGGAGGAATCCCTCTCCAGGGTAAGGGGGAAGTTAGCTCTGCTTTGTGACCTTCCCCTGGCCACTCAGGGTAACTTCTTACAGAAGCATTTCAGGTACCTCCAGCTGCTGGGAGAACATGGCCCTGTCAGCTGTGCTGCCAGGGACCCCTAACTGCCTCAGGCACCCCGGGTCATTCAGGCAGTCCAGGTCATGCTCCAGTCAGATGGAACGGGACACTGGTCAGCAGGACTCATTTTCACAAGTCGATTGCCAGGCCTTGCTTCCTGGTCTGTCTTGGTCTGGACACTGCTGAAACCTGTCTAGCACCCAGCAGCACTCAGACCTGCTGCAGGTGGGCAGACTGAGTCATGGGGACCCTGTGAGCAACAGATCTTAACCTTTCACACTTCCTCATGTTCAAGTTCATTGTTAGAGTCACTGTGTCAGTCCACCTCATTGAAGGTCTTCCTCTCTTGCGGACCTGACACCTGTCACAGCACGGGACTTTCCCCAGGACTGACCCTCTTGACAGGCTGCCTAACATCAGTGAGGTTACCTCCACTTCCTCCAGGACAGAGTTGTCCTCCTGGCAGCCCGTGGGATCGTCGACATTCTTCACCAACTCCACGATTCAAAGGTGTCCACTCTTCAGTGTCTCGTATTCAGTGTTACCTCCGAGAAGGCCGGAATTCACGGCTTATTAGCAAGTTGTGGTCAGTGGACTTGCTTAGTATGGTCCTCCCAGCTGTAGTCTCGGCTCTGGAGTTGAACCTGACCCATAGAGACCCCTCTCTGGGTGTCCCCGACTGCAGATCATCATGGGAGTGGAGTGCTTCACCTTCGCGCCAGGGAAGTGACTAACGGATTTGAACTGGCAACCTTTCGATTAGCAGCCCAGCACATAACCCATTGTGCCACCAGGGTTCTCCTAGTCCCAGTCCTGTTTTGTGATGTGGTGTAAGACCAGCCTCCACGTTTGTGGTTGTAGCCCCGGGTAATGAAGGAGGCAGAGGGTGGACAGAGCTGCCTTGTAGAGGGTGTGGTTCAGGTCTCCACTCTCCCACCTCACCTACCACCTTTCTCCTGGAGTTTCCTTGAGGTGCCGCTCAAGGCAACGGCACTGACTTTGACTTCGTAAGCAGTCTGAAATCCAAGTACAGTTGACCCTTGACCAAGACAAGGCTGAACTTGGAGTCCATGTGTTTCAAGTGTGGGCTTACATGCTGCATGACTAATTTCCACGTGAGAATCTCCAGGGAATGAGAGCTGCTCCCTGGGAGACGGTTAGCAAGCGAGGAAAGCTTCGGTGTCAGCGGGAGGTCACCCCCTCAGCTCTCCCTGCACCCTGCTCTGACCTGCTGATCCGAATTCATCAGCCAGGTGACCCCCTGGCTCAGGAGAGGCCTCCAACCTACCACCTGATCCTCAGACTGGAGCTGGCAGCCTCCACAGCTGCCGGAGCCATTTCCTTGGCGTTTTGTAACGTCTGTGAGACGTTGTAGCAAATTATGGAACCCAAGGGCAGGAGGGAGAGTCCTGAACACTGGCAGCTGGTGGTAATGCCAGAGGCGATGGTCCAGCGTTTGGAGAAGCTCAACATTTGGGATATCTCCAACCTTTGCTGTCTAGAGCCAGCTTTGAGCAGATCCTTCTAGAAGAGATTATCCATGCACAGGTGTCCTTAATCTTCCCTGCAAGTTAAGGTCTTCCATCTCCTCAGAGCCCAGGGGTTCGATGTTCTGTCTCCCATGCTACTCTTGGGATGGGCCACTATCACTTCAAAGGAGGTGAGCCCGAGAGGCCAACCTGCTGTGCCTGAAGGCTGAGAGGGACCCCGCAAGTGACAGACTCCCCAACCCAGACTCCAGGAAGGAGTATTAGTGACACAGGTACCACCTTCATCACACCACCCACTGGTTCCCTTGGAGACTGCTTGAGCCCTTTGTGTCCAGCGTCCCTTTAAGTCCTCACGTCCCTGTCAACCTGAGGCAGCATGGCAAGAGCCTCTTTGCACAGGTCAGGAGGCTGAGGCCCAGGGCCTGCCTGCCTCTGACCTTGGCCCCTGCTGCCTCTGGCTGTGCCTCGTTTGCCCACAAGGGGCGCAGTTCTGGACGTCACTCTTCCTCTCTGGGAAGCAGAGAGTCTGGGGGCCCACGTCCACCTGCCCTCTAGTTTTACTGGACAGTTCTCTGCCCTCCACCCTAGCATCCACCTGGAATTTCTCTCCCAGCAGGTGTGACAGGAGAGAGGCCAGGCTCCCAGACACTGGGGACATGGATGACCCGTGTCTGTATGACACTCTTGCTTCCAAAATGGCCATTGCCACCCTGTGTGAGTGGGCGCTGGTCACTCAGGGACACACCTCCTCAGGTGCAGGGTGGTCAGTGTGGGTGCTGCTTGATGGGGTGGTCTCAGCTGGTGGAGGCTGGAGTCCAGCTTCCTGGGGGGCAGGCCTTGGCCTGGAGCCTCAGGCTTCTGCCCCATTTGGGGTCCTGACTGCCTCGCCTCCTGCTCTGGTGTCCTACTGCCCATCTCTGCCCTGTCCCCCACCCTGCTCCTGCTCATTCTCCCACTCAGTTCTCCCTGAAGGGGGCGGGCAGGCAGCATGGTGTTCCACGCTGGGACAGGCCTCCAGATGCAGACCACCTGTTGTCCCCGCCCCCCCCACCCCCGCAAAGTCCCGGCTCCACATGGCCTGGGTTTTATATGGCCTCTTGCCCTGCCTTCTCAGGGAGTGGAGTGCTGGGCCCTGCTGCTGGGAGCCCCAGGAACAAGGCCAAGGGCCCCTTCTCATATATATTTAAGTGGTAGCCCATGAAAGATTTACAAGCTGCTTCCTTTACAGCTAGTGGACGCCTTGGTGAGCACCTCAGAGGCTGGAAAACCTGCTGGCCAGGCCAAGTCCACCACCAGCACCCAGGAGGCACGCGCGCACACACACACACTCTCTCTCTCTCTTCCTTCCCCTCAGAGAGCAGAGGCCTCACAAGCCCTGCCCCTACTCACCCCCTGATCTTGCTGGAAAGTTCTCTGCCCTAGCTTTCACCTGGAATCTCTCTCCTAGCAGGTGTGACCTAGGGGTCAGGGCCCACCACCTGCCTTTGATGCTGAATGAGTCAGAGGCTTCCTGGCCCCACTTCCTGCCTGGCCTGGGAGCCTGTACACTCCAGCCTGCTTCCTCTCAGCCAGTGAGGCAGTGTCCCCATTTCACAGACCAGCAAGCTGAGGTTCCAGCATGGCAGGTCAGAGATTAGCATTTGGAGGCTGGGGTCTCCCCACCTGGCACTTAGAGGCTAACACCTAGGGGCTAGATGAGGCGGTACGTGGGTGCTTGCTGAGCTCAGAGAGCCCTGGCCAGCACTCCGCATATCCTCTCCCAAGAAACAGAAAGACAGCAAGGCCTTACCCTGCCCCCATGAGACCCAGCAGGGTGGTGGGCGGGCTGGTGGCCTGGTCAGCATCCGAGAGGAAGCAGCTTCTGTGCTCATTCCCGTGGCCCTGCCCTGGGACACCAGGCCTCAAAATGGTGTCAACGATTGCCACTTGTTGCCTGGCTGGGTCCTAGGGAGAACCCAGGTGGCTTTCAGTACAGGGGCCTCCCTCTGGCCACCCTAGAACCCAATCCATGCCACCCACTGGTCCAGCCCTGAGCCTCCCTGCCCTTTGCACCTACCTGGGGGCTGGCGGGACTCCAAGATGTCTCCAGAAGGCTGGGCAGGTGGGGACTGTCCCCCCTTTGCAGCTCCCAAGTCCATCCTTTCACCTCGCCCTTGGGGTAGAGAGCAGCAGGGTCCTGCTGGTCGGTTAGATTAGCAGCAGAGGCGGACAGGAAGCCCCTTTCCAGCACCCCAGCACCCCTGATAGGAAATGAAAATACCAGCATCTGTGTTCAAACCGCACCCTCCTCTGACTGTCCCTGGGAGAGACCTGCGTCCCCCTGAAGTCCCTTCCTAGCCCCTCAGCCCCCTAACCCAGGAACAATGAAGC